ACATTAGATATGTTTCTAATTTAGTGCTAGATTTGTTTTATTCAACATTTCACTTAAAACCAAAACAAATTCACATACAACAAAATAATATAAATCAAATAAAATGAAAGGTAGCAGAAAGAAGAAAAAATCTTATATCTGAAATATACTGACATGTGATAAAACAAAACAAAAACAACTCCTCAAACAGCAGCTCTTATAAATACAAATTTTACAATTTCATATTTCTTTAGCAAATTAACTTTGATCATTCTTTTAAACAAATTAATTGAGCCAGCATTTTTATTATCACTACCCAGATTATTCCACAAATGTATTCCTTTGACTGAAGTACTACATCTGTTCTTCAAATTTGTTCGAATTTTAGGTTTTACAAACATCTCTAATACCTTAATATTATAATAACTAAGTAAGTTATAACTCAATAAGTACTCGTATCGGTACTCAGTATCAGCGAGTACCCAATCTGAAGTACTTGCACTCGTACTTGGTTTGAAAAAACTGGTATTGGTTCATCCCTACATTTCTTTCTATATGTTGCATGAATACATAAATTCTTAAAGTATTGTAAGGAAATAATATAGTAAAAACCTAAAAATAAAACGATAGAACCCAGTTGCAACAAACTAAAAAGCTAACCCTTTTAAACATACATTTTTAGGATTAAAATGTGATCTCAGATGAATAGTGCCAATGTCGGTTGCTTGTCTTCTGTTCATGACGCAGGGTGGGGATGAAGACGCCGCCCCCAGTCGCACCGGACGTCTTTACCTCTTTGAGTTTTGTCAGGAGGGAGTGTCGAGGCCTCCTCTCACTGAGCTACAGCGCACAGACACAGCAGCGATTTTAGATTTAAAATGGTGAGAACTCAGATTTGAGCAGTGTGGTTGTAGTGGTCAGCATCGTCTTCTTGCTTTTGTCCGGATGTTTCTGTTTCATTTCAGGTGCCACATTCCCATTGCAGAGAGGCCGGTTCTGGGTATGGCTACTGCTACAGGAGAGCTGCAGATGTTCACACTGTCAGACAGTCAGGTGAGAAAGGTGGTTTCAGGAGAGTCACATCTGTAGGACTTTGAGGGACTTCGGGTATTAACCCTTTACAAGTGCATCACATAATCATGTGGAGGTGCCATGACAGACGTCAGAAGTGAGGGAGAGGAGTGTTGGACTGTGATTGTTTTCAAGTTGTTTTTGCCAGTATAGCCATAGATGTTTTGGGTAGAGGGCTGAAATTTTTAGGGCGCTTCCACAGACTTGAATAAAGATCACTAGACTGAGCCCCGCCCATGCCCCCGCCAGCATGGAGGAGCAGAAATGGAGACCAAACAGGGCAACAGCTTACAGTCTCCATAGAAACTAATAGATAAAATGGTAAACGGACTGAACTTATAAAGCACTTTTCAAGTCCCTCCGGACCCCAAAGCGCTTTACACTAACAGACATTCACCCATTCACACTCACATTCACACCCTGATGATGGCAAACTACACTGT